GACAACCCCGGAGTTTTCCCGTGTCCCGAGCTGCCGCTCTGCCGACCCCGGAGGTTCCCGTGTCTCCGAGCCTGCCATTCTAGAGACGTTCCGTGCCCTGCAGTCGCCGCTCCGGAGCCGGCTTGGTGACCGCCCGCCGGGCCGACCCCCAGAGGCTCCCCGCTCGTCTGGCCACCCGCCGGGCCGCCCGCCAGAGTTTCCCGGGTGGTCCGACCAACGTCTCTGGTTTCCCTGCCCCCCCACCCCTTGTTTTGCTCTAGTGTGAGCCGCCTGGAAGTCGGTCCTTGAGGGGGGGGTACTGTCACGGTGTGGTTTCACTTCCTGTTGTATTTTGTAGTTTTCTGCCACTCGTGTCCCCGGGTAACTTCACTTCCTGCCTTGTCCCGTCATCCCCTGTGATCGTCTAATAGTTTCCACCTGTGTCCAATCACCTGCACCTCCCTTGTGTATTTAAGCCATGTGTCTCCTGTGTCACTGGTCGCGTCATTGTCTTTTGCCACGCATGTCCTTGTCCTGTCTTTCGTCGCGGAGTTTCCTGCCTGCTGTTTTTCCCCTGGATCCTGTGTGTTTTTGCCCCTTGGCCTTTTGATTTTTGACCTTTGACTATTAAAGTCCCTTTTGTTTTGAACTCTGCGTCTTGAGTCCTGCCTCCACCCGCAACCCTGACATCGTGAAACACACTTATTTATTTGTGTTGTCCGTTACTCACTAGATATTTTGAGTGAGGAAGAAACTGACACTTCCTTTGCGCAACCACACTGAGACGCTTCCTTTGCGCTGTTCTTTGCACCTCACACACTATCTTTTGCCCACAGGTGTGAAAAAAACAAAACAAAATAAAAGGTTAGAACAGAATGCAGAGCTCTGCATTTCATATGGAATTTACTTAGTCAAGCTTCCGCTTATTTGTAAACGGTGTGATTGATTGCACACAGATAGCAACAGATTCGGAGAGTTAATATGTTATTGAGTCACATTTTTAAAAGCTATTTTATATTGTTGATGGTAAGTTTCTATGAATCCGTTATTTAAGTTTATTACCTCCATGTAATAGGTTGTCTTTTTCTGTATCCACCACATGAACCAAATCATCTATATTTATCTTCTCAAGTTTCAGCTGATACCACAAGTCAGCAGATTCTGAAGTTATACTTGTAATCAAAACAGCGCTGCGTGTCGTGATTTTCACTAAATCAAGTGAATCAAGTTGGTAAGAAGGACCTTTTACCTTGTGTTAAATGTCCCTTTTGCATTATTTACCAAGTTCTCTATCTATAGGTAGTGAACAAACAATGTTTAAGGCCACCAACAACAAACAAGAATCTAAATTTTAGAAAATATACTCTCACCATTTTGTGTTTTTAGTTTCATTTTTCATTTTTCAGTTTCATTTTTCATGTAGCCAAAATAGCCATTGGCACAACAGCGTGTGTTACAAAGTCTGAGAGCGGCACAGCACTCCTGTCGAGCCATGATCACAAAATGCAACTATTTGAATATGAATCCTTGATTCATTTGATCAATTCTTGAAGGGACGTCTGTGTATTGAGGTTATGTACACACACTTTTACATGTGAAATTAAATAACCCAGGCAAACATGCCACATCTCTATTATGATGACAAAAGTCTTAGTTGAATACTGTTTAACAGGATTAAAAGATGAAGAAAATGAATGACAAAATATTAAGTACATGCATTATTTATTTTACACTGTTTTGTAGTAGCGCATACAATACTTGATAACACCTGTATATGAGAAGCAAAAATAGCATTTTGTCTAAAGCTTAACACTTAACACACAACAATTCTTCTACTACGGAGCTGCATCCATTTTCAAGCTTTCCATGATTGTGGGATCAAAGCTGGCTGAGCGACTGGGAGCCAGTTTCTCTGGTTTTCTTCTCTGTACTTTCAGCAGTGTCTTCTTGGCGCAGATGGAACATTTTCCTGCAGACGTTCTTGAAGATGGGGCTGGAGAAGTAGTAAACGACAGGATCCAACATGCTGTTGAGATAGGTCAGGCTAATGGTGAGGAAAAACCAGACGGTGAGGTCTTCCAGAGCACGGCACGCTTCAGATTCTGGGAGTTTGCTGACTAATTGCGGCGTCCTTATCCAAATCAGCAGCTGTGTGATGTTGCTTGGGAGGAAGAGAACGACGAAGAGCACCGTCACCAAAATGGTCAACCAAAGAGCCTTTTTAATCTTTGCCTGCTGGGCCAACTGCCTCCTGCTCAGATGGCTACTAATGTGGAACGTACAGTAGAGAACCACAATCAGAGGCACGTAGAAGGAAAAGAGAAACTCAAACTTGTGCCAGTTCAGATTATGTCGCATTTCAGTATCAACCCAGAAGCTCTCGCAGTGGGTTGTGTTGTTGTGTTCCAGATTGAAGACATGAACCGTCATTGAGATGGTGAGCACCCATACGGCAAGGGCTCCACACATGGCTTTGGAGACACTCAGGGAGTTGATGCGATGATGGGGATGCACCACGCGCATGTACCTGTCCAGGGCGATAGCCATCAAGAAGATGGTACTTACACTGCGGTTCAATGCCAACATGAAGAGGCAGATGTTGCACAGAGCGTCCCCAAACGTCCAAACGATGTTGGACATGTAGTAGATGGCGCGGAAAGGCAAGGCCACGTTGAGCAGAAAATCCGCTATTGACAGGTTGAAGAGTAACACCGTGCTGCTCTTCCACGGCCTGATGTGGAAGCAGAAGATCCAGAGAGCCAAACCATTCCCGAGGACTCCAAAGATAAACTCGGTGAACAGCAGAGGCGGCAGGACATTGATCAGCAGGGTTCCATTGAAATGGCATTTCATGTTGACTTTAGTGTTGCCTCCCCGGCCGCCGATGACTAGAATGAAACTGTGACAGCTGTTTGCATTCTTAGAAGTAAACCTCTGATGTGCAAAAAAAGTGTTTCTGTTTTTTATATTTACAGGAAGTCAAACTGTTCCCCTTTTCATCATGTATACCTAAGAATGCTATTTCAGCTACCGAGAGGTTGGTTATGCACTGCAACCTTCCTTGCCATCACTTTGTTTTGTATTTGTTTATATTCTACTGTGTTTTATTGTGTCATTGCTGCTGCTTCCTTCCTTCAGCAGCCAAAGTCGAGCATTCATTCTAAAAATAAAAGAATGTCTAAGATTAAATTATTAATATACCAAACTTGTGCTACTAAAAAATGATTAAAAACTTTTCTCTCTCTCCGTTTTGGTAGTTTGGTATTTCCGTCTTTTGTGAATCATCATGTCTTTTTTTAAATTAATTTCCGAGTTGATATAGCACACATTTGAGTTTTTTTCGATCTTTGTCATATGAAGGACTTCCCTTCTTCACTTGTGCTATCTGTCACCCATTTCGCATTTCTGTGAGGAAGCAAGCAACAGAACCGAGGTGACGCTTCCTTTGCACGGATCTTTATCCTTTGCACGGACCTTTACTGATCACGCCCTCTACCTCCTGTCCACGGGGGAGTTTTATGTGACATAAGCTTACCAGGATTACCAGTTCACTTAGTCAAGGTTCCACTTATACTTACTACTACTTAATACTATGCACACAGATAGCAACAGGTTCAGAGAGTTGATACTGTATGTTATTGAGTTATTTCTATTGTCACATTTTTAAAAAGTATTTTACATTGTTGATGGTGGGTTTCTGTGAATCCATTATTTAAGTTTATTACCTCCATGTAATAGTTTGAAGTCTGTTTCAGTATCCACCACATTTATGAACAAAATCATCTATATTTATCTTTTTTTTAATTCAAATTCCCTTAAACTTTCTGTATTTTCAGCTATTTTAAAAAATTCAGTTTAGCTTTCAGCTTTTTGCATTCCAACGGATTTTCAGCAGGAAATGCATTTTCTAGTTTAAGTTTATTACCTCCATGCAATAGGTTGAAGTCTGTTTCTGTATCCACCATGAACCAAATCTATATGTATCTTCTTAAGTGTCAGCCGATACCACAAGTCAGCAGATGCTGATGTTATACTTATACAATATACGACATACTTATACAACACAGAGCTGCGTGTCGTGCTTTTCACTCAATTACGTGAATTAAGTTGGTAAGAGTGACTTGTTTTCACTTGGTGTAAAGAATTTCCCTATTTGTATTATTTATTGAGTGGATGTTCTATATTTATAGGGAATTAACATGTTTAATAAGGCCACCAACAACAATGTGTACAATGGTGCCCAACAGTGGTAGCAGGACACTGAGTTCCATTGAATTGACTTTGGTGACACTGTGACAACTTTTGGTATTTTTAGAAGTAAACCTCTAATCTGAAAAAAAGTGTTTCTGTTTTTTCTCTTTACAGGAAGCCAGACCGTTCTGCTTTTCATAATTCACATGTCTCTCAAGATTTCTATTTCTCCAGCTACCAAGAGGTTGGTTGTGTTGATGATGTAGAATAAATTCACATTGAGCATAAATTAGTCTTTCAGGTAGCAACGTATGTGCAGCCGCCATGAAAGTTGTTGGTTGCTTCTTTGTTTGAGTTTAATGAATGTTTTTTTACATAACAGAGGGCTAAAAATGATTATGGGGAGCTCAGTTTGTCGCTCACAGAATCAGTTTGTAAACCTCTACTGTCATCTAGTGGATAACATTCCAACGTGCTTTTTGATCGCTGTACTGGACTGATGCGAGTGTGTATTGAAACATTCTCACATGACTTATCAGTTACTGCTATGTCACCTGTCGGGGCTCCCACTCAGTCATTCATCGATGGATGGGAGTTGGGTTTGACAGTTCAGAAACCGGTTGACAATGTGTGTGCTGCTTTAACACCATGCAAAAATGTGAAAGAGCCAGTTCAGCCTGCAGGGCAAACTCTTCCTTTTGTTCCCTCCTCCTGTTGTCGCATCACTTGCATTTTTGTGAACAAAACACCATGGTCCGACTCCACCCGGCGTGAAAACATGAAATTCCTGTCCTGCAACCTTGAAGAGGTCAGATCGTAAACTGTACAAAAGACACAACTGAAGGGTTAGTTTTCTTAGTACACTGTCAAACAACAGCATGTGAGACACAGGTTGTCCAATTCTAGAATGTATTACCTTTGCTTATTATTGTTTCTTCATTGAGTAGATGTCTTTCTGAAGGTTTGG